ATTTCTTTAATACAGAGCGATAATATTTGGTGGCAACAATTTCAAAAGTGATACAATGCATTTAATTGTATCGACGCAAAATACTATTTCGAGATTAATAGTCCATCTGGGCTAACGCCCTTTTGGGCTTAAAAAACGCCATTCAGTAAAATACTGAATATTTTTAATTAAATAGATTGTAACGCCATTCAATAAAAATACTGAATATTTTTAATTAAATAGATTATGAATTAAATGCTTTTATTATTTAATTCACTTCAAAAGTAAGGAAAGAATATGCTTAAGAATTGCATTTCTTGCTTGCGAACAACTCAGTTTGTTAATCCACAGCAGAGAGATTCAGTAATGAAAGATAAATATTTTACATTTTGCCATTGAAATTTCACCATCTATAGAGATTGGAAGAAATATCTCAATTCGAGGCTAATAGGCAATTTGGTTTAAAAAAGTAAAAAGCTAAACATCATGAAGAAAATGAAAAAAGTATTCTATACCAATTACGTCATATGTAATACAGGGTGTTAGAAACACCTTTTATGAATGGCTAAACTACAAATATTTGTAAAAAGTGATCATTTAGATATGTAATAAATTGAATGTATTCTAATTTATTTTAATTAGATTCATTATTGACAAAGTAAAACAAAGACTTAAGTAATTCAGAAGGGTGTTTATTTCTTCTCAATCGCTTAATTTGTAGCTCAAAAGCAGATTGATTCTGTTTGAAAATTAAATCAAATATGTTATGCTTTGCAGAATGGCAGTACTTAGAGCATTTTCTGTTTACAGTGTTGCCATTTAATCAAGAGCATTCTACTTTAACTTTTTAAATAAACGAAAGAGAATTTGATGATGATTTAAATACATACCTTTATTTTAAAAATAATTTAAGTAATATTTGCAGCATGTAAATTGTATTTATATTTAAATATGCACAAAAAAGCAATTACTTGAGGTCTATTCCCGGTTTATGCATGATTATAAAAAAAATATAATGTCTGTGTTTTAGTAGAAATAGGTTAAACGTTTTGTTTAAGGGGAATAAAAAGTAACTTTTTTGTTTTATTACAGTGAAAATAAAACCCAAGTTTTAAGCTTAGAAGCAAGGAAAATAAAAATTTAATTTATTGCTTTGTTTGAGTTCAAACAGTTTGCGTACTTAGGCAAATAAAAGCTATTTATTTTGTCGCTTAACGTTATTATAAAGAAGTGTGTTTTGTAAATTGTGTCAGGGAAATAAAAGTACATTATGCATTTAACGGCGCTACATTTTTTTCTGAAATTAAACGCGGTAAATATTAAAATAGAATTCTTGTTTCTCATTAAAAACATATTTGTTGAAAAAACGTTAGTAACCCATTTATGTAAATTTTAAAACACACATGCATTAAATATGATGTAAAAATCTGATGTTGACTTCCATATTATACTTCCTAGTACGGTCATTTTATCTTTCTGCCCATTGGCTTAATTGCTTATTTTGGCATGGAAACTCTAATTTTAATTGTAAAAGTTGTTTTTAAACTATTTTTAACTGTATCTAGTGTTCTAGGTTTTTTGTGTTTTAAAATTTTTAATGTTTTGAGATTTTCTGTATTTTTGCCTTGCCGCGAAGTGAGAACTGAACTGATTGAATGAGAAATTTATTTTTCTAAACCAGTTCGAGAAACTAAATTTAAATGAAATGCAGCCAAAAATTTGTATAATTTAAAAGGCGATAAGAGGAAGTCGTATGCTTCTCGGTTACGTCATATACAATTCAAAAGTAAAATTACAAAAACTGAAAATAAAATAAAATCCGAAAGCTTTCAGATTTTATATTACGCCAAAGTTTTTACCCTCTGTGTGTTATCTTTATTTATTAAATATCATGTTCTTCGCACTTAACCACATAAAATTTAATTCAACAATAATTTCACAAAATATTTAGAAACAACATATCTTTAAATTCCCGATGACAGTCTTGCGTGCAGATAAAAGCGTTTTTTCGGTACAGTGTTGCTATTACTGACTCCGAAATCTTTGAGCTTGATAATCAAAAATTCGTTAAAGGTTTACAAAATATGAAATAGGTAATAAAACAAATTCGAAATTCAAAATTCGGGCGTCCAGGTGCCCATGCTGGGTGGAGGATTACGTTATTCAAAATTTGATGCCTCTAGGTCTCGTCGTTTTTTCACAATGTGAGAAATATGCACACATTCATGCAGATCCCTGATTATATAATTTCTTTAAACATAATACAGACGATAATATTTGGTGGCAACAATTTAAAAAGTGATTCGCTGTTTTTAAAGAAACGTCACAAAATGCCGTTTTGAGACTAATAGCCCTTTTGGTCTACCCCATCTTTGGGCTAAAAATTTTAAAAGCAGCATAGCAACATACGTTTAGAATTCCCTGATGTGTGTGTTTCAGTCTTTTCTCCGTTCATCATATCAGTGTTCAGTCTTCTAAGGTGGCTTTACAAAATTTTGCTTTTTTATAATTAACGTGTTGTGTGCTTAGTTTATTTATTGAATATTACATTCTTTGCGCTCATACCACATAAAATTCAATTCAACGGCAAAATCACAAAATATTTAAAAACAGCATATCTTTACATCTTCTGATAGACAGTCTCTCGCGCTGGAGATAAAAGCGTTTTATTCCGTACAGTGTTGCTATTGCTCGCTTTGAAAACGTTTGTTTGTTCATCGAAAATTCGTTTAAGTTTTACAAAATAGGGAATAGATAATAAAACAAATTCGAAATTCAAATTTCAGCCTTCCAGGTGCTCATGTTCGGATGGAGGACCACGTTGTTCAAAACTTGATGACTCTTAAGTACCGTTGTTTTTTCATATTTCGGAAAACATGCATACAATCATGCAGATTATCAATATTTAATTTTTTAATATTTAGTAGCAGCAATCTGAAAAGCGATACACTGTGTAATAGTGATTCAACGGAAAATGCCCTTTTGAGACTAATATCCCATTAGGGACTAATGGCTAAAATTTCCATTTAGAAATGAAACGAAAAAGATTTCGACATTCACTTCATGTCTTTTGTAACATCTTATTCATTTTTTACTCTATCATATCCACTGTATTAAGTGAAACTAGGTTTATCGATATAAAATCTTTATAGAAGAATTTTTGTTTGGATGCGAGCATACTTTTTAAAACAATAAACATAATTTCTGGAAAGTTATCACACGTTTCCTTTTCATAAAGGTCAAATCACATTATTTCTGAATTCTTTGCTGTGATAAGGAGTACACGTTAAAAACAAAATTCATTATCAGAAAAGAGTTTTGATCTTATCAATCATCTGTGATAATTCAACCCACATGAAAAGAAGCAATGGATGAAAAATTGGTAATTTTATCAATGAAAGTAAATATCGTTGTTATTCCAGTTAGTTTACCCATTGTTCAGCAGAATAAAAGTTTCATCGTTAGAATGCCTTATTTTGATTGAAAACTAAAATATATGGAGCAGATTTTCTCGAAATTTGTCGATCCAGGATAGTCTATTTATTGAGTGTACTTATTACTCATAATTAGTCACATAACGTAAAATAAATGCAATACTGTTTCATACATCTTAACAACTGTGGAGTAAATAGGTAAGCCTTTTTTTACCTGTTTGTCTGACGTTGTTGCCATTTTGCTATTTTTAAACGTACTTCTTTTTCAATTACCATTGTTGCCATTATGAAGTTTCTGCATAAGCTTTTAAAGAAGTAAAGAAATGATTTCGATTTTAGGTTCATTTAAATAAACTTCTTATATTATTTAATAGCTACTATGCGGCCAGCTTCATGTGCCTTTTAAATTTACCAGAAAAAAGAAAAGAAACAAATGGTATAAAGGAAGTTAAGAACTTTGTTTCCTAAAAAAATCATACAAAACGTTTTTATATAATTTTAATTATATATAATTAAAACATAATAAAAAATTACAATGAAATAAGCAATAAATCTCATATTTTCAAGAGAAAGCAATCAGTAGTTCAGTATCCAAAGCAATGAATGAAAATCTGTTGCCAAAACCACATTTTAAAAGAGTGAAACTATCGTCTGAAAGCAATAACCAATCAAAATTGTGCTTTGTGGATGACGTAATTCAAAATATACAAAACTCTTTGCCATTAGTAATAAAGAGAGAGAGATAAAAAGGAAATTCTTTTTGTTGTGACTCGCGAGACACATGGGCGTCAGAATAGGAAGATTGTGATGTGCCTGTTGCGTGTATAATTAATAATATTTTATCTCATATTTTCAACAGTCAGCAGTTCAGTATACAAAGCATTGAATGAAAATCTATTACCAAAATCACATTTCTAAAAGAATGAAACTATTCAAAATGATGCGATTTCATCAAAAAGATAAAATTTAAAAACTCTTATTCGAATTTTGAAAAAATCGAGATGCACTGGCTCTTGTCTAGATGCACCTATTTACCAAATTTCGTAGCCCTAGTCTGTTACCTTACGTGCAGCACAAACGAAAGACACACACAGAGAGACACTTTCTTTCATTAGATATAGAGATTGCTTGAAAAGTATATTAAAGAATCGCAATAAAACTATTCATTCTTTAGTATTTAATGATTAAAACATTAGTTAACTAAATTTTGTTAATTTATTGTGTTAAAATCATCGTTTTAAAGATTGAATTTATAAACATGTAATTTATGGTTAAATTTTGCACTTTTTGCTTTAGTACGATTTTTATTTAGGTTTTAAGTCTTTTCCTTTAAATTCGATGCTTTCTTATGAACCACATATTTTTTTTCATTTCTTATTATTGCACAGACGATTAAATTTAGCAATACTACTATCATTGAATGAATAGAAATATTCTTTTCGTTTGCATTTAAACTGATAAAATCTTTGGCGAGATTAAAAAACTGCGCCAGTGTTATTTATATCACTGGTATATGGACAAGGCATTCATTTTTTAATAATATATTAACTTTAATACAATATTTATTTGTTTTTTTCCTCTTTTCAGTGGCTTCGATACTATTTCGAGCGACATGACGCCACAGAGAAGGCACGATGTGAAAACGAACTCCGTTTCTAATGGTTACAGCCCAGGTAAGCAAATTCTTTTGGCTAACCTTTGGTTTTGAATACGAAGTTGCCTTTGGTGATATTTGGCGACACTGGAACGTTATCGACGAAAAATTTCTTCTTTCCGTACAAACTACCACATTTATTACCCGTAGAGTAATAATTTTATTCCGTTGCGAATTTTAAGGGATGTTTTATATTTTTCCGCGACTGTAGAATAAATCCGCGAATTTTAATTTTTTGAATATTATTTTTAATGCCGCATATATTGATATTTAAGTGATTTTAGGTGACTTTCAGAAAGCTATTCCTTATAGTTATTATACTATTTTAACCTCTAGTAACCCCCCCCCACCCGATTCTCTAACAAATTGAATAAAAAACGCGTCAAACTCATGTCTTAAAGCTGATTCATTTAATAATTTTTTTTTAAACTAGCAAAAAAAAAAAAAAAAAAAAAAAAAAACATTCGAAGAATGCAAATTATAAAACTAAATCATAATTATAATCTTCTTTTGATTTCATTACTGGAATCTTAAAAATTCGCGTTTTTAAATGCATAAAAATAACATCTTCCCTGTTTTCCAAAATAAAATCTTAAAACTCAGAATTCAGTTTTAAATTGGTTTACGACTTGTTGCCAACATCTGCTTCAAAATAAAGAATAATTAAATTAAACATTTGATATTTTCCAGAAATATTTTTCCAGTCAACAGTCCGTACAAACTTAATGTATAAGCATGCTAGAACAAAATTATTAACCAGAAATGAACCATTTCCACAAATCCAAGCAGCAACAGTTTTTACAAGTGAAGATATCCGGAGCGTATTCGAATATCTTCATTTTGGATATTCTCATCAATTTACATCCTAAATATAAATAGCATAGCGAATATTAAAATAAGTAGGGCAACACTTAGCGTTCTGAAACCGTAAATATTGATCAGCTGAATGCGTCTACGGCACACACATTTTTTTCCTCTTCGCCTTTGCTAATATAAGATAGCTGTGTAACAGTTATAGTTGTAAATACTTACTTTAATAGTTATATTATTATAACTATAAGTGACTATTTATGTTATTCCTTAGGACGTTTGTTGATATTAGGTTAAAATATACAAATACAATAATTAGGTCATAAACTGAAGACTTTTTTTTTTCGTGTTAGGCCTGTGTTTTATTTCCTACGTTTTAATGGTTTAGTTTCTGGTTTTGTGACTATATTTCCATTTTTTCTGACCTGTTGACTTCATAAATGCTGAATCATTCGAAATAATAAACGCGCTATAAAGTTGCCCGTTTACATGTCATACCACTTGTCATTATGTTACGTACATGTTTGTAACATGTATAAGGTATTATTATTTTTTTTTGTTTTGTTTTACTTAAATCACGTCCAATTAAAAAAAAATTAAGTACGAAAATTTAAGTATACAATCTAGGATTCCAAAAATAAATTAAATTAAATTAAACGATTAAAAATTTCAAAAATAAATAAATAAATAAAATTTTAAAAAACCTGAAAGGTTTCAGATTTTAAATTACGTTCAGAGAGGCGTTTTTCTAACGTTTTGTATGTTACCTTTATTTATTAAATATCATGTTCTGCGCACTCAAACTGTAGAATTCAGTTCAACAGCAATATCACAAATTAATTTTAAAATGAGCATATCTTTAGAATTTCCGATACAGAGTCTCGCGCGCTGGAGATAATTTTTTTTCTTCTTCCTGTACTGTGTTGCCATTGCTCGCTTTGAAATCGTTTAGTTTTTTTAATCAAAAATTCGTTAAAGAGTTACAAAATTTGAAATCGATAATAAAACAAATTTCAAATTCAAATTAGGGCTTCTACATGTCCATATTTTATCGAAGATTATGTTATTCAAATTTTGATGGCTCTAGGTACCATTGTTTTATCACAATGCGAGAAACATACGTACGTTTATGCGCATTCTTCATTATTTAATTTCTTTAAATATAAGACAAGGCGATAATATATGGTAGCAACGATTTGAAAAGTGATGCAGCCTTTCAAAGTTTTCGACGTAAAATGCCAAAACGAAATTAATAGTCCCTCAGGGCAAATTGCCCTTTGGACTAATAATAATGAATAAAAATAAATAAACGGAGTAAATAATAATAGTAAGTACAAAGTAAAATTAAGAATACAAAAAAAAAAAAAAAAAAAAAAAAAAAAAAAATGGATGATATGAAAAGTCATACAATTATTTCTCTTTTAAATTCCTTCTACGAAGTAAAGGAAATATTGTAATCGCGAAAAATTTTGGGTATCATATCTCAACGAAAATATCCATTTTGACTGCTCTCCAAACCGTTTGAATGTTGATTTTGCTTGACATCTCTACGTATAGAAGGAATAAAGGACTGTTTTTCCTAAAATGGACTGTAAAATGGATTCAGAAGGGATTTTTTTTCCCTGGCGTCTGTAGGCCGGTATATGTCAGGCATTAATTCCAAAATCCGTTGTCGTTGAACGTTGAAATATTGTATATGGGACTTTTATAACATCTAATTATGCATCTCCCTATTTGTTGCAATCGGTTCGACCAAACGTGTATATGTATGTATATATATATATATATACAGAGTGTTGACCCAGGTTCGAGCGCAGACGAAAGAGATGGCCTTATGTTTGGTTTTAATTTCCCCTTGTGTGCCGTAAATACGAATCAGATTCCTTAAGAAGTCCTCAACGAAAGCATCACTTCTCTTAAGCATAGAGCCCTCTTGTGCTTTCCTATCTTCAAGTAACCTAATCTGAGTTATAGCTCTGAGAATGAGTTTTCGGTACTATTCGGTTTCGAGGGCCGTAAAAAATCGCCAAACTATTGTTGATGCCAATGCTGCCAAAAATAATTGCGGCAACCCTAATAATTGCGGCAAGAAGGAAGTATAATAGTAAATAACTATCTAAGATTTATGTTTTAATTTAGATGAAAGGTTATTTTCATATGATACTTTATTATTATAATTTAGTATATGAAAAAGGCTAAACATGACTGAATGGAAGCATAAGAGTAAATAACTATTTCAGATCATTATTATAATTTATATAAAAATTGCTAAACATAACTGAATGGATGCCTGCATCGCTATTTCGCTACCGACTTATCGCTAAAGCATAATTTCATCTCGTTGGTTGTTCAAACGTAATTTTCTATAATGAATTATGCCTTTTCTTTGAAAATATTCTCGGTAAAGTGCAGAATCGCTCACGTATTTGTTTGCCGCTTTTTACAAGGGTAAAAACAATTGAATTTTTGTCAATTTTCTTTTACTTTTTAAGTGAAAATATGTTGATGATGTGTACATAGATAAAGTCAAGTGTGTGCGCAGTGCCATTTTTGTGTAATTCTAGGATGTTTTTTCAAGTGAAAATAGGTCGATGTGCACATGGATACCGAAGTATGGGCAATTCTCAAGCAGTGGGTGATTCTGGACTTTACCCAAAATTCTATTGCCGACTTTTCGTCATGGGCAATTCCCAAATTGTTAAATCCATAGGATATCAAAAAAGGATTTAAAAATTAAACTAGTATGTCAATGGCGTCTTAGGAAATATAGAACTACACTGGTGTGCAAAAATTAAGGACGAAGTCGAAAAATTAGCATATCAGCTGAACGAAGAGGCAGAGCGGACAAAAAGACCAATCAGGAGATTAAGTAAGGTGATGTACGGTAGCACATGCGCAGATATGCAGGTAGACGTAATGGGGGAGTGTCTGAGTAGTATAAGCATGTTGTCGGTGTAAGATCAGTATTTCTGGCAAAGAGATTGCACGCCGTATAGCAGTTAAAATCACACCGAGTTGCTGCCTCAGCGAGAAATGGCGAATAATTAATCTGTTAGACGACATCTGGATGCTTTTACCCGAGGTCGAATCATTGGGAAGTTGGAGGAAGGCCGCAGTGTGACAAGTGTGGCTGCTGAGTTCGGAATTGCTCATAGCATCGTTTCACGACTTTGGAGACAATTTCAAACTACAGGAACAGTTATCCGGGGGTTTAGTAGTGATCGTCCACGAGGAACCCCACCCGCAGATGACCGGTATATTGCCTTACAGGCCAGAAGAAACAGGCGGCAGACAGCGGGAGAAATCGCTAGACACACGACACAGGCGACTGGACGACCGATATCGCGTTTTACCGTGGACAGAAGACTGCACGGTGGTGGTCTGTTTGCACGACGCCCTGTACGGTGTGTACCTCTAACGCCTGCCCATCGGAGAAGGCGTTCTCTGTGGTGCCGGGAACACCGGAATTGGAGAGACAATGAATGGGGACGAGTACTCTTTACAGATGAGAGCAGATTCAGTCTGAGTAGCGATTCTCATCGCATACTCATCTGAGAGAGCGGGGAAGCCGCAATCATCCCTCGAACATCATTGAAAGGGACAGGTATGGAGGTGGCGGTGTTCTCGTTTGGGGAGGCATCATGCTTGGTAGTCGTACAGACCTTCACATCTTCGACGCTGGTTCAGTCAACCGTTATTGTAACGAGATTCTTCTTCCATATGTGCGCCTTTTTAGAGGCGCTATGGGTCCGCAGTTCCTTTTCATGGACGACAATGCACCATGTCATCGCACAGTAGCTGCCGAACAGCTCTTAGAGAGTGAGGATATTGAACGTATGGATTGGCCGGCACGATCTCCGGATCTCAATCCCATCGAGCATGTATGGGATTTTCTAGGCAGACGCTTGGCAGCTCGTACCTTACCACCAGTAACGATTCCGGAGCTTCGATTAGCGCTGCAAGACGAATGGGCAGCAATGCCTCAACAACTCATTGACACCCTCATTCTCAGCATGGGCAGACGCTGTGAAACCTGCCTAGCAGTCAGGGGAGATCATATCCCCTATTAAAGATCGGATGTTTCTTGCTGGACACCCATCACAAGAATGTTTCGGCCTTCAGTCGCATTGCGCTCCATGCTACATTTTCAATAAAGCTTCTTTTTAGCCCTCTGATTTCTCTTTTAGTAAGTGTTGCTTACATTACTCA